TCATACTAAGTGAAGTCAGACAGAGAAAGACAAGTATCATATGATATCACTTATATGTGGAATCTAAAATATGACACAGATGAGTTTATTTATGAAACAGAAACAGACTCCCAGACATAGAAAAGAAACTTATGGTTACCAAAGGGGAAAGGGGATGAGGAGGGATATATTAGGAGTTTGGGATTAGCAGATGCAAACTACTATATATAAAACAGGTGAACAACAAAGACCTACTGTACAGCACAGGGAACTATATTCAATATTCTGTAATAAACCATAATGGAAAAGAATATGAAAACGAATATGTATATATAACTGAATCACTTGCTGTACACCAGAAACTAACATAACATTGTAAATCAACTGTATTTCAATTAAAAAAAATTAAAACTGCTTTAACCATTAGTTCAAAAACTGAATGCCATCAGTTCAGGTGAGCTGCGATTCAGGTTTATGAGTTGCCAGGTGTCACCTCCAGGCCCCAGGCTCACAGGACCCAGTGCCTAACTCATCTCAGCTCCTACCCATCTCCTCCAATCAGCTCATCGCTCTAAGCAGGCGCTGTCTGATACAAGTACAACGGGAGCCACATGTGGAATTCTTAATTTTCCGTCAGCCATATTAAAAAAGTAAAAAGAAACATGGTTACATTAATTTTAATAATATATTTATTTAATCCAACCAAAAACGTTATTTCAACATGTAATCAATATAGAACAATTGTAAGTAGGCTGTTTTGCACTCATTTGTCGCACTAAGTTTTCCTTGTTTTGTTTTTTTGGTGGAGCCATGCGGCATGCAGAATCTTCCCTGACCAGGGATCGAACCTGTGCTCCCTGAGTTGGGAGTCCTAACCACTGGACCGCCAGGCAAGTCCACACTAAATTTTTCAAGTGCAGGGTGTATTTATAGTTCAATTTGGGCGAGCCTCATTTCAAGTGCTCACCAGTCACATGTGGCTAGTGGCCACCAGCTATCGTAGTGGCCAGCACAGCACTGGGCCCTTCTCATCTCTTCACTCATACAGCAGGCACCCAACTAGAGGCTGCCCGGCCCACTTCAGTCTCCTCCTGAAAGAACAGGAACGAGGCTCTCCCCACATGGAACTAACCCGTCTCCCAGTTCAGACACTGAGCAAGATGAGGTGGTCTTCCCTGACCCCAGTATCACCTCCCCTACGTCGCCTTACAGATCAGCTCGCTCACCTACCGGATGCTGGCAATTAGGAGTGACAGCAGAAATCACAGTGGGAGGCGCGAGGTCCTTTGCAAGTGGCAGCTCAGAGAGTGGGATGGGAAGACAGGGCTGAGCCAGTGCTGGACAGCAGGTGTGAGTTACCCTCACCCAGGTCGCCTTTCCCTCTGGAGTCACAGGAAACGGCCAGTGACCCTTTCTCCTGAATCCTTCTGTCTGATGCACTAAAAAACCCATCTGTTCTTCCGTCCTGTTCTCCCTCTACAGCTGACCTTGCTTCCCAGGTTGAACACAGAGCCTAGTACATACCCCTTCAAACCCGTTGAGGCCACAGAGGAAGTCCCACTTGAAGGATTTCAGAGCCAAACTTCATACATAATTGATGCTATCCGAGAAGTGAATGGCACACACCTAGTAAGAAGGTCTAACTGGGAAAGGTGGCAGGGACTGGACATCAACTGCACACGACAGAGGCACCTCTGAGAGGCTGTAACCCTCAAGTTTGGGGGGAACTCTGCTCTTAGCTGTGCCACTTGCACTCCAGTACGCAGACGTAATCTTTGCTTTTACACTCACTTCCTGCAAACTACGATGAGCACAACTGGGTCTCCCATGTGCCTCTGCACGTCCAGCCGGCCTGCGCAGGACCGGCTGGCAGAGGCAATGTGGCTGCACCTGGCTGCGGGCCGCACTTCTGACTTCCAGACCCCACTCTCAGTACCAGGTGGCCTCCACCGAGATGACAATCTCTCTGTGCCTCTGAATTTTGGTCTGAAAGTGGAAACAGTAACACTACCTACCTCACATGCTATGAGGACTCAATGAGAATCCACATAAGGTCCTTAAAACCTGACTGAACCACAGCAAATGCTCACTAAATCGAACTCGTTACAAAAGCAGTAAATAGGCTTTTCCACCTGAAATGATTTTTTTTTTTTTTTTTCGGTATGCGGGCCTCTCACTGTTGTGGCCTCTCCCGTTGCGGAGCACAGGCTCCGGACGCACAGGCTCAGCGGCCATGGCTCACGGGCCCAACAGCTCCGCGGCATGTGGGATCTTCCCGGACCGGGGCAAGAACCCGTGTCCCCTGCATCGGCAGGCGGATTCCCAACCACTGCACCACCAGAGAAGCCCCCTGAAATGATTTAATTAACAGAAAACTTCTCCCTCACCTGTCACTCTTCTGACCCAGTCAGTGGAATAGGCCCTCCGCACAAACGAAAAATATGGGCGGCAGGAGCCACCAGCGTGATACAGGGGGTTGAGCAGGCAGAGGCAGGGCCTGCTCCTGTGCTAATTGCTCATTTAGCTTAAAAAATATCTTTACTGAAGGTAAATAACACAATAAACAATTACAATTTGATACACTCTGACATATTATACATCTATGAAACCACCACCTCAGTTAAGGTAATGGACACATCTACACCCCCAAAAGTCTCCTCGTGTCTCTCTGTAACCCCACCCCCGACGCCTAGGCAACCACGAATCTGCTTTCTGTCACTACATGTAAGTTTGCATCTTCTAGAGTTTTATATACGTGGAATCATACAGTATGTACTTTTCTGTGGTCTGGCTTCGCTCCCTCAGCATGGTTACTTCGAGATGCATCCATGCTGTTGTGTGTCTTTACACGGACGTCTGCCCTCGTTTCTCTTGGGTAAACACCGAGAAGTGGAAAGGCTGGATCATACACAGCAAGCATACGTTTAACCTATTAAGAAACTGCTGAACTGTTTTCAACACGGTTGCACCATTTTTCATGCCCACCATCAGTGCATGAGAGTCCGGCGCCTGCACACCCTCGGCAGCACGTAGTATGGTCAGTCTTTTCCATTTTAGCCACTGTAATAGGTGGTTGGTGGTGTCTCGTTGTGTTTTTTTTTTAATAAATTTATTTTATTTTATTTATTTTATTTTTGGCTGCGTTGGGTCTTTGTTGCTGCACGCGGGCTCCTCTCTGATTGCGGCGAGCGGGGGGGCCACTCTCCGATGTGGTGCGCAGGCTTCTCACTGTGGTGGCCTCTCCCGTTGGGAGCACAGGCTCTAGGTGTGCGGGCTTCAGTAGTTGTGGCACACGGGCTTAGTTGCTCTGCGGCATGTGGGATCCTCCCGGACCAGGGCTCAAACCCGTGTCGCCTGCACTGGCAGGCAGACTCCCAACCAGAGAAGCCCCTTGACATGGACCATTTTTGTTACAATATTGCTTCTGTTTTGTTTTTTTGGCCACAAGGCATGTGGGATCTTAGCTCCCCAACCAGGGATCGAACCCACACTCCCTGCATTGAAAGGCAAAGTCCTAACCACTGGATGGCCAGGGAAGTCCCCTCGTTGTGGTTTTAATTTGCATTTCCCTGATGGCTAATGATTTTTCACGTGCTCATCTGCCATCTCTCTATATTCTCTGGTGAAGTCTCTCTTCAAATCACTTGCTTTTTTTTCAGGTTGTTGTTTTCTTAATATTGAATTTTAAGAGCTCTTTACTTATTCTAGACATAAGTTACATAGAAAATGTGTGATCGGCTAGTATTTTCTGCCAGTCTGTGGCTTGTCTTTTCATTCTCTTGACAGTGTCTTTGAAGGAGGAGATATTTTTAAATTTGATGAAGTCCAATTTATAAATGTTCTCTTTAATGAACTGTGTCTTTGATGTCATTAAGAAATCCTTGCCTAACCCAAAGTCTCAACGATTTTCTGTTTTCTTTTAGATGTTTTCTAGTGTTAGGTTGTGTCTGATTCATTTTGAGAGTTAATTTTTGTCTATGGAGTCAAGTTCACTTTTTACATATGGATACCCAACTGGTCAGGCACCTAATTCATTCGTTTTAGTTTTGTTTTTCAATTTAAAATTATTTCAAGGACTTCCCTGGTGGTGCAGTGGTTAGGAAGCCACCTGTCAATGCAGGGGACATGGGTTCGAGCCCTGGTCCGGGAAGATCCCACATGCCGCGGAGCAACTAAGGCCGTGTGCCACAACTACTGAGCCTGTGTGCCACAACTGTGCCTA